CCCAAAATTAATACAAATCCCTCATTTAGAATATTGATGATGTCATCAATTCACCAGCCGTATGAAGTAACTCAGCAGTTTGCCTCTGCGCAACTCTTCCTCTAAATCTTTGTCCACAGAGAATGCATGAAAACGGTGCCTTATCGTTTTCTGTCTTCTCGTCTCCACCTGATATTGCAACAAACAAAGCAATGTATTATATTCACATATCTTCACCATTCACCAACGTATACGTCAAAGATCTATTTGCGAAAACTGATGGTCATCCCACAATGTTCCCTTGATTTCCAGCATTTGCATTGGGGAAAAAAAACATGTAGCCCATGTTCAGTAGAGATTTTTTTGAGAAGTGATTTTGTGAAAAGTGATTTTTTATTATTATTATTATTTTTTTTTTTGAGATTATGTGGTTAAAAAGTAGAAAATTTTATGATTCACGTGCAAAATTATTTTATTGGGAGAACATGTGGTTGAAAATGAGGTTTGGGAAAAATAATTTTTGAAAATGGGGGCCAAATTAGGGGCATGATATATAATAGAAATTATATACTAAGCATCATTGATATGACACATCAATTAACAGGTGGATCATTTAATTCCTAGAATATACCATGAACTTATCAATCAATTAATCAATGTACCATGTCACTGTTGCTTAGAGCAAGCCAATGGGGTCTACCATCTAGTGTGTGTGTGTGTGTGTGTCAAGGTCACAAAAAAGAAAAAGAAATTTTCAAGTGAAGGTACAAAGGGTTGGAAGAAGTTGGCCATTATTTTATTGTAGTTTCTATTGTGTGCACAGGTGAATGGGTGATGCTTACAGTAAGCTGTGAATTGGTAGTTGTCTGTTTAGGTTATAATTGGGCTCAAGAAAGAGATGGAATCAAGAAGGGTTTGGTCAAAGAGTTTGCAAGGAAATGGGAGCTGTCATATTTGACACCAAGTAATTTAAAGTTTGTTGTAAATAGCTCACGAGGAGAAAAGTCGATGAACAGTTCAATTGCATGCAAAGGATGTTGTGACGAATAAGAAGAGCTCCCTAACATTTTGCAAAGATGCAAAATGTTTTTTGCAGAGATTTTGAGATGCTGGAATGAAGATAGGATGAAGAAGAAGAAAAAGAATAAACAATCTCAGAATGGGTCGAAACAAATCACACGTGCCTTCTTCAACCTCTTTCTTAGATCACATATTGCATATATATAGGAGAATACCAAGACTACTTGCACTCTAGCATAAACTGGAGTCTAGTTTAAAGACGTCACCAAATTATATTGGAAGCTAACTAGGATGAGCTTATAGTCAATAAATCCAACATAATTAGAGTCTCAATTATGACAAAAAATCAAAGATAAAAACAAGTCTACAAAGTCTTCTTAACGAATGTGGGTAGAGTATTCATTCATACTTAATGGCAAAAAACGAAATACAAGCTTAAGAGGTGGGCACCTAACCTAACCATTGAATCAATAATGATAAATGCAGCAAAATTAATCAGTGTAGCAGATTAGAAGCTAAAGGGTTAAGGAGCATGTATTTCCATGTGATCTCACCGTACTCCCGTCAACATGCTTCATGTGTAGTATTTTGTAGGCTCTCGATCACTCTCATAGTCATTATCATATTTGGAATTATGACATGTTGCTCGGACTCTCCATTTTGAAGGAAGTACCCATGTAGGCAACACGACAAGGATAAGGATAAGGGATCCATGTCAGATCCTTTAAATCAGAAGGAATCATTTATATAGTTTTTGTTATTATCGTATTGGATTTAAAATGATTTCTAATTAATATCTCACATTTCTAGACTTGAAATGAAAACCAAATGAAGCATTACAAGTTGTAATTTAATTTGTTTTAAATTTTCAATCAAACATGTATAAGTGCTAGCTGAATGTAAATTAGTAGTTTTTGTGCAACGTTGAAAGGTCTTACCAGCTTGGTCTCTACTAGGCATCTAGGTGAACACCCAAGTTAATTCAACATAAAGAAAGCGCATTAGGGGGACAACATGAATACCATTGCACAACGGCAATATCCTATAGAATGCATATCCACTATACAAAAAATAAAAATGCATAAAATATTATCAATACATAAATTCTAAAATAAATTCAAGTTCATAAAACATATCCAAGTAGCTATGTCTTCATTTTGAATCATTTTTGTTTGTATCCCCAAATGCCAGATTTTTAGAGAGAGAAAAAATTCGACTCCTAGATATGTACCGAATTGGACACCTACACCCAAGTCCAAGCAACATAGATTATGCCAACCCCATTTTCTAGTAATAGAAACACGAAACTGGGGCAAAAGTTAATTGCTAAAAATATATGGTAATAAAACGGTCAAAATTTTGCAATAGACTTGAGGGGTTTACATTTCTTTCTTTTTCTATGAATTTAGGAACTTTAGGTAAAAATTGACACAAAAATAATAAAGATCTCCCAGGAAGAAATGACGCCTTGGTAAGTACACTAACACACCGCCGGAATGGTGAAAGATAACCAAAAAAATTACTATAAAATCTTTAAATTAAACTTACAATGAATCTCAATTGCTTTATCCATTGTTTAAGCAAAATGCATAAAAGTGTCTTTAGAAAGAGAATCCGCTTAAGCCCTCAGAAAACCTGCAAAAAAAATATTTTCGATGATTTCTAGGGCTAGACAACAAAATGGCAGTTCCCCTTCTAGATCTAGATCTTGGCCTTGGATCTCGTCATTTCAAAAGTAAAATGGAAATCTAAGCATGCATCTTTGGTATTTAAAAGGAAACGGGAATCACGATTTTGGGACAAATCTAAGTGGCTAAACGATATTTTATTAGGAATTTGTGGGTTCAAATGGAGGTAGAAAAAGAGAAAGAAGTATGTATCAAAGGGATATGCTTTGTGCTTTTAGTAGTCAAGGATTGCAAGGCTGATGTAGTAATGAATCGAAGTGAAAAAGATTCATGTGGGTGACCCCAAATTTATTGAAAAAAAAAAGTAGTTTTCCTTGTTGTTTTTGTAACAAAGCCCAAAGCCATTTTCAGTTATCATTATCATTTTATCTGGCTTCAAAACGGAGATATGCTTTAGGCCCTTTTAGTGAGCTTCTAGCTGGGACCATTTTCACCTAGCTTAAATAAGTCCAAGCCTAGCATTATGGGCTATATCATATTCTCATAATGATCAAATCTTTTGAGTACAATATTATACGTATTTCTAGACACCAAAGACTTTTCCAACTTGAAATAGGGTAAGATTCTAACAAGGAATTCAAAGATTTAGAATCCTTGATCACTAAAAACTATTTTAAACCAAGGACTCTTCCTTCGCAAGTAAACAATGTAATCCATATCAAAATAAGGCCCATTAACTATAGATATTGCCTACGGCAATTAACAAAAAGACTAATATACCATCGACTCTAAGCCAGTAAGTATCAAATCATAAAATTCTAGGACTTTTTAAGATTAAAAAAAAAAAAAAACACTAAATTTCATTCTAAAAGTGCTGAACTAGTCTCAAATATTATGCCTTCTTGTTAAAGTATATCCCTCATAACTTCCTAATAATAGTTTAAAAAAGCTTAACAAGGTATCAAGGAGTTTTATCTTTGCAAGGCTAGGAGTAAGCTTTTAGGCAATTTGAGGTATAGTCCTCAAGATAAGCCAATAAAATATTTAAAATGATATAAATATGCAAAAAAATGCTCATATTAAATCATAAATCATCTTAAAAAATCCATACTGAAACAACAAGTCAGAAGTCTAAATTGAAAAAATATACAAACTAGATTAATAAAATCTCAAAAAATAAGTTCCCAAGCCAATAATCACGAAACAAAAACTATAATAGGATCTTTAAGGGAATCTTCCTCCTTACCATTAGTTTCTTATTATGACCATCATCATCATCCACTAGCTGACTTGCATTTTCCTTTCCCTTTCCTTTCATATAACGACAAGAAAAAATATATTTATAAAAGTCATAATACATTCTAAATTATAAAGAGAGAGCCCAAAAAGCTGAAGCCAAATAGACAGTTCCTAACTAAACCATAATATTGAAAGATGTTTGAAGCTTACATCTCGAAGTGAGCTTCATGTGAAGCTTTATAACATGACTTAAAATAATATTAAATGTGGCTTATGCCTCGAGGCGATAGCAGTTTGTGCACATTTGTCTTGCCTTCCATGGGATTTTTATCGCCAGCCTGAAGTTTTAGAGTCATTCTTTCTATAACTTAGAATTTATTGCAGATTTTTTTTGTTTTCTACCTTTATCCAAAAGGGGAACAGAAGGAGAAAACAACATTGCAAATGAAGGATGCTAACACGGAATGGGAAAAAACTACAAGCAAGATAGGATCATCAAGTATGTTTATGAATCTCGTCAACATCCTATTAGTATAATATGAGAAACTTCCATTTTATATTGCTTTCATTTTAGTAGTAGATTACAATTTTGTTACGTGATTAATAATTTGCGAACTTACTATTTTGCAATTTAATTATTAATTACCTTTTATAAGTTTTATTTTCTAAAAAGGAAATGCATGCAAATGACTGAAGTGGCACGCCATATGTTAAACATCATTGAATTCATAGGTTTTGATGGTAACCGCATGGTTTGCACATTGACACCATTTAACGTGACAAATTTGTTTAATCACTACGTTAAAGGTAGTTTGCACATGGTTGAATGTCCAACATTGAAGTTCAACATTCTAAATTCAGGTCCACCATGCAAATTGAGTTTCATTTCTCCACTAAAAAGGTCAAGCCAATCAAAAAGTCAAAAGAGCTATTTGAGTTGACATAGATGGAGTAAGATTCCCAAACAAAAATAACATCTCATACCTATTTTGTGTTTAGAATTTTTAGATGAATTACCCGCCTTAAATGTCGTGATAATCAATTAGGTTGCGCATAGGCCCACCCACTGAAATTCAATGCTAAAATAAACAAAGCAAATGCTGTCCAATGGGGACCGAAAATGCAAATTAAGAAAAATATGAAGCAATACTAGTTTTTAAGTTGCACGTAATAGAAAAATCTAGCAAAGAATAAAGATAGCAAAAAGGAAGAAAAAAGAACCTAGAAGGAATCCTTCTCCTTTTCTCTACTAAAGGAAAGGATCAACCAAAGCAATATTTGCAGTGGAAAATGATTCCCCTCATTTCCCTAAAGGAAAAATGAGGTGTAACATTATCTTACCAAAAAAGAGAAAAAAAAATTGCCACGTGCCTTTAAAGGGAGTATTATTTAGCAATACAACTTTCATGCACAGAGATCTAAAACAGTCAGGAAACTCTAGAATATCATATTTAAAAGATATCTTTCCCTAATAATTTCCCATTCAAGGACCCATGAAGATCTCTAAGTACTTGTCTAGTCCATGACAAGTAAGATCTTTCAGTCTACGTGTGATGAAGTAGCTCAAACAAAGACGAGTCTAGCCCGATCTGAATTCGGGCACGACCAGCCAGTCTGCTGCTAGGTCCAATCTATGGCACCCAGAATTCCCAGTATCAAGTCATAGACATATTGCGTGTATCGTATTAAGTAATGGGTTTTTTAGGGGGCTAGCTAAGGGGCTAGGCATCTCTTTGACATGACAACTAGTATCGCCTTCACCAGCCAGATCTATCAGCAGCCCTTTCTTTCGCAAAACTTAAAAAAAAAAAAAAAGTCTCTCATGGCCCAATTATTATAACAGCGTTCTCAACCATAGAATTCGGCCTTCGGGGTCAGCCCGGCGGCTTCTATGAGGAAGGCGGCGCAAAAGAGGCTCGAGGGATGGTTTAGGAA